CCTGCTGGCATTAGGGCATGAAACATGGCTATGTGCTTTCACCAAGCAAAGCGTGGGAAGAAAGCCCCTTTTCAGGTGTGGGGTGTTCAAACCCAAAGCAGGCAGATAGGAGCAGCCCATAAGCAACTTGACCTTTGCTCTTGCACAGAGCCCGCATGAGACCCACCACTGCTCTTGGGTTTCTGATGCGCTCTTGGTCGAGCAGGTCTATACAGTCCTTTCCTCAAACCAACTGGAAAATGACTGCAACACCGTTATAAAAGGAAGAAATAATTGAATTTTCTGAAGCTGCAGAGTCCTACAGCTCCAAAAGCAACATAAATTTGTCAAGGGTTCCCATCACTCTCAAAGTGTAAAGAAACAGGATAGAGATAAACATAGGGGAAAGTGAGAGATGTACCGCAAGGTTGCTATTTTTGGGTATGAATTTACCTTTCAATTAAAAGCAAGGTCTTGGGAGTTGGGGAAGAACCTGCACTTAGTTCTGAATCCTCTGTCTTTGCTGGCCTTTTTATTTACAGAGTAAGCTGCAGAAAGCAGTTGTTATTTTAGACATGAATATTTTTCATCTGAGCGCTACTGCCTACCAGACATTTTGATATTTTTTAAAAAATGTTGGCTAATTTTGTGTTTTGAGTAGGAAGCTTCAACTTCACACCAGTTCTACACATGCCTTTCTCCTGTCCAGCAGTTTGGGCAAGATAAACCTGTAACCAAGACGTTCCTCCACAAATCTCTATGGCTTTTATCAGGATTTTATTATTGCTCACCTTACTGTGGACTTTGAAAAGACATGGGGGAGTATCTGAAGTAGTTTAAAATTATATAATCTTTAAAATATCACTGGGATGCACGTAAGTGTTCCAATACATCCACCAAGGCCCAGTTTTTGCTTTTGCTTTCTAACCGGTGAATGACGCAGGGAAGGCAGCGCCAGGTGAGCTGCCTGCAGCGATCTCTACCTCTCCCCTAGACTACATTAACCACCTCTCCTCCCACTCCAGATGCCTTCCCAAATCCTTGGTCCTCTCCCGACACCTCTGTGCTCTTTGCCCTGCACCACCCTAGCACTCGCAGGAGAGGGGACCCCATTGGCACCACCCCATCTCACTCACGCTTATGGCAGAAGAAAGTGCCCAGGTAGCATTGAGGCAGGAAAAGTCTCTGAAAAGAAGCACAATTAGCAATGTCTTGCACACCAAAGTAAGTCCTAAAGCAGGCAAAGCAGCAGCTGGGGAAGGTAGTGACCCAGCCCCAACATCCCCCTTTGTCCGTCCGCCTCGGCACAAGGAGGGAGGCAGTGGGCAGCTCCAGCGTCAGCACCCTCAGCCTGCTGGATGGCTCATCCATCGGGAGTGATGAGGAAGAATAGTGCTGGGTATCATCCCAGGCATCTGCCTGCCTGCCAGGCTTGCTCTTTAAAACAAGCTGTCAAGCACGGATAGCTGTTGAATCAATATGGATTTTATTCTACAGCCCGTGCCTGGTAGCTGTCAATGCCACTTCTGCCAGCACAGGGTGGGCTGTGCCACTGTACACCAGGACAGGTGCTACAAGGAAGAGGACACCAGCGCTGACTCCTCAGTGCCTGTCTTGGATGACTGTGAGAAAGCAGCCAAACAGGAAGACTTCAGAGACAGTGTCTCTGTGTTGCTGCTGCCAGTCTCCCCCGCCAGCGCCAAACATGCATGTTTGCCAAGCACAGAGGAGAGTTTGGATATACTACAGTCGGTCAGTCCTTCGGATGAGATGTGAAAGCAGGAGCCTCCTCCACCAGCCTCGCCGAACGTGCTGCATGTCCCAAACAGACTATGAAAATCAGCCGACATCCAGATCATCATCTCCTCTTCCACCAGGCAGCTTCTCATGCCCATCCCAAGGCTGTAAGTTGCTGTGGATAATAGCTGTGATGTTTACCCAGACTGTGGCTGCCTACCTGTGCTTGCGCGGAGGGTCCGGTGCTTGATGGTCCCATTGAAGAGGTGATGTCCAGCTACTTGGAGCTCGTGTACTTGGTGACGGCCTTGGTGCCCTCTGAGACAGCGTGCTTGGCCAGCTCTCCAGGGAGCAGCAGGCGCACGGCTGTCTGAATCTCCCGGGAGGTGATGGTGGAGCGCTTGTTGTAATGTGCCAGGCGGGAGGCTTCTCCAGCAATGCGCTCAAAGATGTCATTGACGAAGGAGTTCATGATGCCCATGGCCTTGGAGGAGATGCCGGTGTCGGGGTGGACCTGCTTCAGCACCTTGTAGACGTAGATGGAGTAGCTCTCTTTCCTGCTCTTGTGCCGCTTCTTATCGCCCTTCTTCTGGGTCTTTGTCACGGCTTTCTTGGAGCCCTTTTTGGGGGCAGAGGTGGACTTTGCTGGTTCTGGCATCCTGAGAGCTCTTTCTCTGGGTCTTGGAGCTGCATGGAAACAACACCAAAAAATAAAATTATTTTTTGTTTTTCTACAGTATAGCTTTACTGAAAGATGAGAGTCTGAGTTGGAGACAAGCAACACCTCTGAATCTGAGACAAACACCCCACAACCTCGTGCAAGCATTTTTGATCTGCCAGCAAGAACTGCTCTGGTTTGTGTACGTTTTTTTTGCCATTTCCTGTTTAAGTCCCTATAATATCAGCATTGTAAACATTGCTGAACCCAGGCCTAGTTGGCATCTGCTTAGTAAATATGGGCTGGAGGGTGAACATATTTCTGAGAAGAACACTGCCGTTCCAAAGAAAACAGTAAGTGCAGCATGGATTAAATTAAATTTTGCTGGAATGGGCTGGAGATCGTTGCAAGGTATCACTGAAGCCATCCTTATATGGGACTGGTCAAAATTATTTTATATGGTCATTACAATCTCCAATAGCCTCTTTTTTCTCTGCATGTAGGTAAAAGATTATTTTGAGGGTGCTTGCATTTATGTGGCTACTGTTTTATGTCATGTATTCCAGTGGAATATAAAAATCATACAGTTTTAAGTTAGCTAGCTGAGCTACGGGAATCTCTCAGTGTTCATGTTAGCTAGGAAAAATACCAGAGAGCAGAAAAGCTCAGAGGTGGTAGCAGGAATCACCTGGCAGAGAAACAGGAACGTGGATATGAGGAAAAACTCAAAGTGCTTTTGGGCTACATGTTGGCAGACAGAAGCTACACAGACTGAAACTGTTTTTTGCTATTTGGTGCTTTCTGCTTTTGAGAGACCGAGCCTCCGCTGGCCAGTTTACATCAAAGACGCCTGATCCTCTCTCTGAGTTTTTCTTCATTATGCCACAACCTGCAAATCCCTGACCTGCAGCCGACTGCTGTCATCCAGAAGCGTGGTAACAAAAAGACAGTATGTAAACCCGTCATAAAACTGGGTGCCTCCCCTACACTACAAATTTACATGTGCTTTACTACGCGGGTCAAGGGGATAACTGTGCTGTAACCTGGTAAACAGTTTTGTGTTTCAGAGGACACTTTGAGTGCTCCCTTGAAAGCCAAGGCTTCTCCAGGCTTTGCTGCAGGATCAGCTTCCAGCATCACCCCAGGGCTTGGGCTTTTACCACTCTGTGCCTCTTTTGAAGATGATCTAGGAATTACAGTTTGCTGGCCAAGAGAGACTAGAAGAGAAAAAAGAGCTTCAGGGCAGATGGCACATGGGAAAATGGCTAGAAGTAAACAGCAAAGAGAAAGCTGGGATGTCACATATGGTCTGCACACACGGAGCATCAGAGAGGGACCTAAACAGTGCCTGCACCAACTCTTTGAAGTTAAAGGAAAAGCAGTTTCATAGAAAAAGGAAGAAGATGGGCACATTGCGAGAGTAGTTCTCCTTCAGGTGAACTCACCCCCTTGCAAAGCTTCATGGCCAAGTGAGCTGAGCTAGGTGGAAAGCTGTGGACAAAGACCATGCCCAGAGACACGCAGGATGGTTCTGACCAAAGTGGACTCCTAGACTTGGCACGGCAAAATGCTCAGTTGGAGCATATGTATAAACACCGTCACAGAAATGCCAGAAATGTGCAGCTGGAAGGAGCCTCCAGAGCTCCACACTTTGATTTGAGGATTGGGTACCCAGGCATGATCTCCTAGATGAATTTCTCACCTTTTCTTTAAAAAACCCCAAGGACATGATTTTCATGTGCCATGTGCTTGACTCTGCCACTTCATCCTCTTTCTTAATTTTCCCAGGTATTCTCAGTGGCGGCATTTGGAAGGGTGAGTGCTGGACTGCCCTGAAGGTCCTGGGCACCCTTCAAAACTTTGAAACCTGCCCCCTTAAACACCATATTTTCTTCTTCTGGCGAAACCACAAATTTTCTTCCTTCCTCTACTTGTGAAGCAATATCAGGGAAAGAAATCCGCCACTGCTCTTGTTTGCAGACTTGAAAATATGTCTTTTCAATGGAAAGGCATTCTTCCAAGAGAATAAATAGTTATGGACTTGCTTCTTTTTCTCTTGAGCTAATTTCTTGACTGAAAAACACCACAACTGAAGAATGTAAATTTCTATTTTCTCGGGCTTTAAAAAAAGTGTGTCCTTCTAAAATATGTATTGTTAAGTGCACTTGTACCACAGCTTTTAAAAAATGAATATAGTGTCCAATAGGCATCAGAGTGATCTTGTACATCTCCAGAACAGGTCACATCTACAGGACATCTCTGTCCATTTGACTGGCTAACACCCTTGGGTAGCGCGGCCAGGATCTCACTCTTCTCCCATGTACACCTGCATGGGAAGCAACGATGTTAAAGTTCAGAGATTAGCACAAAACCTTCGGTGTCCTTGCTTGCCTCCACCCATTTCATTTCAGTCTACTGTTTAACAGGTAAATAACACCTTCTGTGGAAACAGGCTGTCTTTCTTTCAGTTTGTTTGGGCAGTGCCTAGCACAAAAAGCCTGATTGCGTTTGCCAGGTGCTAAATAAATAATGTTAATAATGGTCGACAGTATCACCAACCCTTCTGTCAACAGTGCAATGCAATCCACAGGCAGGTGCTGCTCTGGTACGAAGATCAAAGCAGCAGGATTATTCCCAAAGCATCCATGTGGAGAGTTTGGCAAGCAAAAACTAGGTGACCTCTAAAAAATCCAGTGGTTTCTTTTTATGAAAATAGTTGCATTTCTTTCTTCTTTCCTTAAAAAAAAAAAAAAAGAAAAAAGAAAAAAGAAAACCTTTTTTAGTTTTTGTATTTGGAAGTGTTGCCATCATGACTGATTTCTCTACTGTGAGAGTGACCAAGCACTGGCACAGGTTGCTCAGAAAGGTTGTAGGGTCTCCATCCTTGGACATACTCAAAATCCCACTGGATGTGGCTCTGAGCAACCCAGAGCAGTCGACCCTGCTCTGAGCATGGGCTGGACTAGATGTAGGTCAAGGGAGGTTGTCCTCCCCTCTCCTCTGCCCTGGTGAGACCG